CTAAGTTAAAAATACATAAAGCAATAGTTGAAGGAAGTATAAGGATAAACTGAGAAAGAGCCATCAGGCCTCTACTCAGGGCATCATGTGAGGCAGGCTTGGCTCCCTGGCGATGAGGAGAACTGTCAACATCTCCATGGCACCTCGGGGCGCCTGAGTGGCTCTATCGGCTGAGCGTCTGACTCTTGATTTTGGCTTGGGTCATGATCTCGGGGTCCTGGGATCAAGCCCCGCATCAGCCTCCAAGCTGAGGGTGTAGCCTGCTGGGGAGTCTCTCTCTCCCCCACCCCCCTACTCGTGCACACACACACACACACACACACACACACACGGGTGCGTGCGCACTCTCTCTCTCTCTCTCTCTCCCTCTAAAAAACATGTTTTAAAAATCTCCATGGGGCCTGGAGACGAGATCTGGAGATGAGGTTTTTATATTTATCACAAAAGGCCAGATAGGGTTGAAAAATACCCAAAACCTCTCTTAAAGCAAAAATCTAATCCTGTCACTGCCCGGCCTACAAGTAGCCCTCCAATGGCTCCCCGGCGCCCTCTTGAGAAAGTTCACTTTCCAGGCCAATCTCTAGCCACTGGTCACAACTGCCCTCAACCAACCAAAGCGGGTTATTTGTTATTTCCCAAACACTTCACACTTCCTGTCTTGCCCACCTGAGGAGACAGGGATGGAGGCAGGGCTGCCTGGACTAAACTAGAGAACATGGCTGCCATGTGCCATGCGCCACCAACTGGCTGGCAGGAAGGCCTGAGTCCTGCCTGGTCCCCTCATCTCCTGAATAAGCTTGCTTCACTCCTGGGTTCGACTCCTTCACACCGTCCCCCTCCACTTAGCCCACGACAAGTGATCTCCATCTTTCCAGTCCCGCCTCAGCTGCCTGGGCACAGACTCTCTCCATCTCTTGCCTGGCCTCCCACGTGGGCCCTCAGACATGTGTCCCTGCCACCAGTCCTGCCCCATCTCTCACATTGAACTCCAGAGGGGTCCTTCCAGGGCTCAGATCGCACGCTCTACCTCTGGCACTGTGGAAAGACCTCGAGGTTCCCATTTCCCAGAGACTGTAATGAAATGGAGCCGAGGCCCAGGGCTCCCCCTTCTTCCTCACACTGACAGCATGCGTTCACACAGAGAGGGCGTGAAGAACCCCCCGTCTTTTCCTCAAGTCCCCACGCACGCTCATGTTCCCAGTGAGCTCTCCTCATTTGCACAGAGGCAGTCAGGGGGTAAAGCAGAAGGCTGTGTGGCCTTGGCTCAGTCGCTTGGCCTCTCTGTGCCTCGGATTCCACATGTGTAAAATGGAGATGATAAGGAGAGGTTCGAGTTAATACATATGAGGCTCTCTGCAACATTGCCTGGCACACGGCAATGCTCAATATAAAGCTAGATCCGCATCTGCAAAGAAAGATGAAATATAGTCTCTTTTGCCCTATTTTGGTGCCCCTTCAGGCACCTCAAACTCACCATGTCCAAAACCGACCTTGTCTCTTCCCCAAACACACCCCATTGAACCCTTCTCGGTAAATGGTCCCAAACGCTTGGGCCACCTGGGGACCATCTCCTTCGTCCCCCACCCCAACTGACCACTGGCTCCTAAAGAGTTCCCAGGACCATCCCCACCCCACCTCACCCAGTCTCCCCATCCCCAGAGTGGACCCACAGGTTGAGCATCTCCAGAAACCCCGTCACCCGCAGGTTTGCTCCAAGACAGAGTGTGTGACCCACCCTGTGTGGTCCAGAACCAGGACAACAGCTTCCTCTCATTTCTGGAATGTTCCCTAACAGCTGGGAAGAGGCCAGCCCACTGGACCCTGCTCCCAACTCACAGTGCCCAACTTTTCCAGCTGCCCAAGCTCAGCACCTGCTACCCCTCCCAGTGGCTCACCACTGCTCACAGACAAAGGTCCAGCTCTTACCCGGCCAGGCCTGAGTACCTGTTGTTCCCTAAGCCTGAAGTGCTCTCACAGAGCCCCC